AAAAAAAAAAAAAGTTACATGAACAAGGTAATAAGTACATTTCCTATTGAGCATTGTTGCCTCCTCCTTTATTTTCCCCAACCATCCTTTCCCTCCCACCTCCACAAATCCCCTCCCCCTACATCTCATAGTTACAATGGGTCAACCTGTATCCTTATTTAAGCATTTTGGGTTTTTTTCCCTTCCCCTCCCTGAATTAGAGAATTGTATATACAAGATGCAGGGCACGAACATCAAATACAGTGAAAATAGGGGTTATACTGTGGGGGAGAACATACAAAGCAACAAAAAAATCACATGGTACATTATAAATACATTAGAAACAACTGAGGGATATTTTTGTCCTTAATCCAGTAGAGCCTTACTTCCCAACAGCCCCCAAGTGAATTTTGACCCAGTTACCCATTAAAAGCACAAGTCGCATTATTTGCTTTGGTTTTGGGGGGGTGGGGTTTGTTTGTTTTGGTTTGGCTTTTTTGCTGGTCCTCTTAAGTTCATCCTGCACACTCTTAGCTTTTTTCTTCAAGACTGGTACTTTACCACTTGAGCCACACCCATACTTCTGGCTTTGTTGGTTTATTGGAGGTAAGAGTCTCATCTGCCTGGGTTTACCATCAAATCTAAATCCTCGGATCTTAGCCTTCGACTGTTGAGAATCCTGCACCTTCACTTCATATTGGCAATTACTGTTTCTCATAGGATTAAAGCCTGAATTTAATTCAGGGATTAGCCACAGATGCTTAGTTAAATGTCATTGATTTCGCATTGAAATGAAAGAGCCTGCCGCTGGTGAAAACTTGTTCCTTGGTCATTCGATTTGGTAGGCACCATTTTGTTGCTTAATTATAATTACACCGTCTTTTCTCCATCTTTCCTTACTCTATTATTGATTTTCTAACTGAATTAAAATTAACTATCTTAGGCTGGCACCAGTGGTAGAGAGCTAGCCTTGAGCTAAAGAAGCTCAGGGATAGCAAGTGCACAGGCCCGGGTTCAAGCCCCAGGACCAACATACACACACACACACACACACACGCACACGCACACGCACACATGCAAGCACGCACACAAATTAACTCTCTTTTAGAGTTAAGAATCCAAATAGCTTTAGAAATATAAGACCTTTTCCAACCAGGTGTGGTGGTATATGCCTGTAATCCCAGCTACTCTGGGATGCAAATTAATAGAAGGTTGGTTTAAGGCCTGCCCAGCTGGATGTACAAAACCATATGATAACAAAATAGGATGCAAGTGTGACTCAAATGGCAGAGTGCTTATACAGCAAATGGGCAGCCCTGAGTCCAATCTCCAGAACCATAAATAATAATAATAAATAAGCAAGGAATATTTCCTAAAGTCTTATAAAATCATGTTTGGTCTAGCTCTGGTAGATCATGCTGTACTCTTAGCTTCTTAGGAGGCTGAAACCTAAAGATGAAGATAAAAAGGCAGCTCAGGCTGGAAAATCCATGGAACTCTTATTTCCACTTACCCACCAAAAAAGCCAGAAGTGGAGGTGTGGCTCAAGTAGTAGAACACCAGCCTTGGATGAAAAAGCTAAAGGACAGTGCCCAGGCCCTGAGATCAAGTCTCAATATTAGCACGCGCACACACACACACACACACACACACACATTTCCTCATCTTACAAATGTTCCTCTTAAGGGAATGGTTGAATAGAAAAATAGAAATGTTAATATGGCATATATATCCTAATGATATCATCATTTAAATCCTTATGTAATCTCATCTTCTGTTTATGAAGTTATAGTAAAACTTAAGAATTAAAATACATCTCTTTTAATTTCTAGAAAAACCTAAAAACGGGGACTTTTCTTACTAGGATTGGGAAACTTCTGCTACATTTACTTACAGTTTTTTGTTTGACGCTTTTTCTCAACAATGTTATTAAGGTAAGTTGATAGTGACATATTTAATGTATTTTTGATTACTTCTGGCACTGGAGACAGTTTTTACAACACTTCAAGTAATTAAATTCTTGTTTTTTTAAGCTGATTAGCTCCAGGCTTTGTTTTAACTTCTGGTAAAGATGATGATTTTGTTGGTTTAATCATTCATTTTTTTCCTCTTTAATTTTTTTCTTAGTATGACTTAATTGTATGGCAGGGTTTCATTGTGATATTTTCATACATGCATGTAATGTGCTTTGATTAAATTGACTATATTTCTCTTCTTTTTTTTTTTTTTTTTTGAGATGGTACTGGGCTTGAACTCAGGACGTAGATGCTGTCCCTTAGCTTTTTCACTCAAGGCTAACACTTTACCATTTGACACACAACTCACCTTCCAGCCATTTGGCAGTTAGAGATAAGAACTCACAAACTTTTTTTGCCTGAGCTGACTTTGAACCATGAATATCAGAATCAGCCTCCTGATTATCTAGGATTACAGATTTGAACTGTCAGCACCCAGCTTGCTCACATATGGATTGGG